GTGATCAAAATCCAGATGTTTCGCAACTGGCCTGTATTTATGACGGTTACAGTGTCCTGAGGTCATGTGATCCCTCTTTGCGCTTTGCGCCCTTTTGACAAGCAAAGTCAATGGGGAAGCCAGATGCACTTAACAGCAGTGTTACTAACTTAACTGAAGCGATTCGCTTAACAACTGTGGCAAGAAAGTGTGCAAAATGAGGCAAAACTCACTTAACTGCCTCACTTAGCAACAGAAAATTTGGGGTCCATTGTGATCCTAAGTCGAGGACTATCTGTGATAAATACAAGAACAATAAAAGACATCTCTCACCAATGAGATTGCATTTTGGCTAAAGTACATGCTGGCATCTTCAAGTACAAAACCATCACGAAACTCTGAAAGCCACTTCAAAGTGCCCACCAGTTTTTCTAAGCCTTCTAGAAAGCGTCAGAACCACTAAATGGAACATGGTGAGAACTTCAGAATCACTCTGCATGCCTTAGTTTAAGCTACAATGTTTGTGAAGTCTCACGTTATACAATCCAGCTAGGCTTCAGCAGCTGCATCCAAATTACACAGTTCAAGTCTGGCCCTCATTGTAGAAAAGCCCCGTGAAAGAAATAGGACAGATCTTGCCAAAGCAATTGTCTTAGACAAAGTATGTGCAGGAAAATCAGGAATCAAGACTGTTCAAATGAATACAGGTTTATACATTCTAACAGTCTTTACAACAGTGTTTCTCAACCTTGACAATTTTAAGGCATGTGGACTTCAACTCCCAGAATTCCACAGCCAACATTGCTGGCTGTGGAATTCTGGGAGTTGAAGTCCACATGCCTTAAAATTGTCAAGGTTGAGAAACACGGCTCTACAAGAATCTGAACTACTAACAGTCAAAGCAAATTGGTGGTAGATAAGAGTCAACAGAATTTAAGGTGGGCCGGACTTCGATCTCTTGTGGGCACAAAGGAATTTGAGACTGATGATGCATTTGACCCCCCCCCTCCCTTAGATTCAACCTGGCCATCTCCTACAGCCCTGTCTCCATGGGATTATCCTATCCAGACTGAGATTTTGTTCTACTCCAAACCACAAGGCAATTATTACAACAATGTGAGCATATACTGAGCAGGTATAGAGTTATTTTCATTGCATTAATGAGTTGAGTTATTAAAAAAAAGAACGAGTGTTGGGAATTACAAAATAGCATAGCAGGGGATTTTTCAGTCCTGGGATTCCAAAGACAGCAGAGCATATGCTAAAAGCATTACTGGAAAGCTGCAGTGTTCCTAGTATCAAATAAATGTCATTTAAAGGATTTAGTATACAGATGCAGTTCACAGAAAACAAGTAGACAAATCACAGGAAGGACAGAGGCAATCAAGCGTTTGAAGGCTGCAGCATTCCAAACTCCAGGTGTTTCTCCCTGAATATTATAGACGCAGCATAAATTTAACCTTTGTTAAAAAAATATAGATTTCCCCCATTATAATTAATGGAAGAACACAACTCCTGTTATAGTGAACAACTCAAACTTTCTCTATGCTTTTGTTTATATAATAAAGTGACTAAGAACTTATTAGCCCAGTCGTAGGAATGGGTGCAGGAACTGGGTATGTCTAGTTCAATGAAAAGAAGATTAGGGGTGACATGATAGTACTGTTCCAATGTTTGGGGGGTTACCACAAAGAAGAAGGGGTCAACCTATTCTCCAAAGCACCTGAAGGCAGGACAAGAAGCAACGGATGGAAACTAATCAAGGAGGGAAGCAACCTAGAACTAAGGAGACATTTCCTGACAGTGAGAGCAATCAATCAGCGGAACGGCCTGCCTCCAGAGGTTGTGGGTGCTCCAACACAGGATGTTTTTAAGAAGAGATTGGACAATCATTTGTCTGAAATGGTATAGAGTTTCCTACTTGAACAGGAGGTTGGACTAGAAGACCTTCAAGGTCCCTTCCAACTCTGTTCTGTTAATCAGTTAGTTATAGATGATAGGTGGGGAAATGGAGCAGTTTGAATGGGGATTAAGAGGCTAAGTATTCTGAACTATTTCTCAAGAACAGAACCACTTGGCAGACTAAAAACAAGAAATCCAGATCAGCATTTAGAAGACAAATGCAACTGCATCTTGAATAAATGGTACAAAAAGCTTTTCAATACTCCAATAGTCCAAATTATATGCTTTCTTCTACTGACTTGCTTGCCAATCTGAGTTAGCTGATAGGGTTATAAGACCACATGCATCTAGCCTTTCTCATAAATATTGTGGCATGTAAGATCCAAAGTTATTGCTTTCATTATTGCTAGTTAGAGCACAAATTTTCTTCTTTGCTACCTTAATGAATTGTCAAACACAAAACATTAGGCTCAGTTCCCTACCACTGAATCCTGAAGAGAGCAATCAATGTATTCTTCTCAATACAAAAAGCTTTAAATTATGGTTCAAAATAATGATGGTAGTAAAGAAAAAAAAAACCTCGCCTCTCTTTTTGACTAAAGAACTGTATTCAACACAGGTATTGAGAAGAATGCTTTTCAGAAAAATGTGCCTAGTGTCCAAGTGCACATAAAACTGAGATTCTCAAGCCTCACACAAAAGTACACATTAGGAAGAGACTTTTCCAAGAATTCTCTAAATCAGTGTTTTTCAACCTCAGCAAAAAGATGTGCACACTTCCACTCCCAGAATTGCTCAGTCAGCTTTGCTGGCTAGGGAATTCTGGGAGTTGAAGTCCACACATTTTGAAGTTGCCGAGGTTGAGAAACACTGCTTTAAGCCAGCCTAAAAGCAGTTACTCACAATTATAATATCTCATAAACATTTAAAAAACCCTGAAACATAGGCCAAAATATTTTATTTGCCAGAAACTCTCCTCATTTTTCAGATATTTTCTAAGGAACAAGGAATCAAAAGAAAGTGAAGGAAATAGCATGTTTGGAGTCAATGATCTATAAATGCAAAACAGAGACCTTACAAGCATAGAATCTGTGGGAAGTTAATCACATGAAATCATTCTTCAAGCTTGATCTAGACTGTAAGTTGTGCAAAAATGCTGGAGAGATGGTTCTGAATTGCAATTAAGTTCTCAGAATGCAAAGATCTGCTTTATACAACACCAGGAGGCAATTTCACATAGGTTTGGAATAGCTATAGCCCCAATTTTAAGCCAGAAAAGCCAGTCAATAAAATGTGGTTTTACCGAATGCTAGCTTTCCCTGTCATATGTAACCCATTTAATTGAAGACTGAGCCTACATATTAACAGGAAGAAGCCCTTAAAGCTAACTAGCTTCACTTGTTAATTTGAGAGTGTAGTAAATGAAATTATCCTAATGTTGCAATGCATCTTATGTTATGAAATGGCATGAAAAGAGAAACAAAGACATTTTTTGCATTAAACCTCTTTAGGGGTAATATAGGTAACAGCAAGGATAATCCTATGTCAAACATCTTCCTTCTTGTGTTAATGGATACCCAATATGTAGATCATATGATCCCTCCACATGATTTCATTAAAAACTACTCAATATTCAATTCAGAGGAAGGCAAAAGCCTTGCTGATAAGTGAAGTAGTACTAGTGCTGGCTTCCTAAACAACTGCTTAATCTTTTAAATTATCATTTATACTGCCTTTGCAATTAGAGACACCTAATTCAAATTTGTCTCTATTGTGCTGAAGGCAGGACCAGGACAAAAACCAGAAAAGTGATTTCAACTTCTCAACTTTCCTGAATAGCCAAGACTAAACTAAAATTGGGGAAGGGAGAGGAAGAATAGTTAAAACCACAATATTTATTAAATGTATATGCCACCCACCTCACCATCAGGCAACTCTGTAGTCTTCGACTTACAACCTCAATTGAGTCCAAAATTTCTGTTAAGCGAGACGTTTGTTAAGTGAACTTTGCCCCATTTTACGACCTTTCTCGCTGCAGTTGTTAAGTGAATTTCTGCAGTTAAATCAGCAACACGGTTGTTAAGCGAATCTGGCTTCCCCATTTGACTATGCTCGTCAGAAGGTTGCAAAAGGGTGATCACGTGACACAGGGACACTGCAACCGTCATAAATATGAGTCAGTTGCCAAGCATCCGAGTTTTGACCACGTGATCGTGGGGATGGCTACAGTGGTCCGTTAAGTGTGAAAACCCGGTTGCAAGCCACTTCTTTCAGTGCCCTTGTAACTTCAAACGGTCACTAAACAAACTGTTGTAAGTCGAGGACTACCTGTCTAGGTAGCCAAAGAACCAAACAGTCGGAAGAAGGTGAAACTTCTTCATCAGATAAAACTGAGAGATGGTGTGGCAGGATTAAGTTACAAACAACTCTGGGCAGAAGCTGCCACAAAAATGCAGATTTAAGCCATTAGGGAGGAAGGAGGGAAGGAGGGAGGGAGGGGAAAAAGCACAGGGGAAAAAAAAATTCATTTAGAAGCCAAAATTAAAAGGCAGCCTGTCAAGCAGCGAAGGGGGGGGAGAAAAAAACCGCAGAAAGCCCAAGGAACAGCGTGGCATCAGAGGGACTAATCAGACTAATGGTGCTGAATTGTTTTAAAGGGGTGTTGGGTTTTTTTTGCTTTTAATTTTGCAAACGATGCCTAATGAAGGCTGAAGGGGCAAAAAGCTTCGGGGCCGCCTTCCTTTGCGGCCAGTCCAAGAAGACGATTTCTTCCAAGAGTTGTAAAACAAAACAAAACACACAAAAAAAAAAAAGGAGGATAGGAAGGAGGAAAAGAAATCCCAGGGCTTGGCAGAGCTGCCAGCGGGTCCAAAAGAAAGTTCGCCTCCCTCCTCTCCTCCACGACGGAGAGCGCGCGGGAGGAGCCCCGAGGGGGAAGAGGGGCCGGGGAGGCTCCACCGCCCCGAAAGGGACACCGGCGGCGGCTGCGCCCCCTTCCCCCAAGCGAGGGGAGGCGGAGGGGGAGAGGAGCCCCCCGAGGCTGCGGGGAAGAGGCTGGAAAGGGCAACCCCGGGAGGAGGAGGAGGAGGAGGAGGAGGAAGAAGAGGCGGCGGACTCACAGTCGAGGTGCTTCTTCTTGGGGCCCATCACCTCGTGCGTGGTGGCCTTGCAGACGGTCTTGGAGACGGCCGAGCCCGTCACGCTGTGCTGCGCCGCCGTGATGCGGTCGGTCAGGCTCTGCCCCGACATGGTTGCCCAGCTCCCTGCGCGGACGCGGCTGTTCCTGGCGGGGAAGCAGGGATGGGAAAGAGGGAGGAGGAGGAGGAGGAGGAGGAGGGCGGGCTGCCAGCCCCGGCCGGCCCCAACGCCGCCACCTAGCCCTGGACGCCCGGCTGCGCGCTCCGCCCTCCGGAAGGGCCGGGCCTGTCACCCGGGAGAAGGCCGCCTCCGCTCCCTCCCTCCCTCCTGCCCGCCCGCCGGAGTGGGCGTCGCCTTCCCCCACGCGCGGGGAAATGGCCGCCGAAGAAGCCGCCGCCGAGGTCTTTCCGGGACGCCCGGATCACGTGACCGCCACCATCCCTTTTTTAAAACGGGGCCTCCCTCGGGCCCGGCTCTCTTTTTTTTTCTTTTCTTTTTTTTTTTCTCCCTCCCCCCCCGCTAGGCCACGTGACGCGCTCCACCTTGCGGGGAGAAAGCGGCGGTGGTGGCGGGGCCGCACCCCCTCCCCCGACGCCCCTGCACGTGACATGCGGTCATCCTTTTCCTGCTCGCCCCGCCCCTTTCCTCGCCGCGTCCCGCGGTGTGCTGCGTCACAAGGAAGAAGGCGGTGACGCAATCAGCCGAGGAGTTCTGCGGGGTTTTGTTTTTTTTTTATGCCCGGTCTTTCTTCTGCCCTCTCCCGCCGCCGGCTGTTCTTTCGTGGACGATGACGTCATTGGCATTCCTGAGGGGTGGGAGCGGGAGGGAAACCTCTCGTGGGCCGTTCCCTTCGGTGGGTGCTTCTGGTGACTTTTCCACTACCTTTTCCACTGCCAGTTCCCTACCTTACCCGCACACATCTGCAGCCAAGAAGGCTCCACACCAGTGGTTCTCAACCTGTGGGTCGGGATCCCATTTGGGGTTGATCAACCATTTCATGGGGGTTGCCAAGCAAGACTGTCTGCCATTTTTTTTGTCCGCCATTTTTTTCCCCTTTTCCGGCGGGTGCCTTACCTCCCTTGGGCTGGGCCAGCTTGGTGGTCGGCCTGCTCTGTCTCTGCTGCTTGCCAGCTACGCCTCGGCCGGCGCAGGGGGCCGAACCACGCATGTGCAGCGCTCCCGGGCAGGGAAAGTCCTCGACTTACAACCGGTTGGGTAGTCCTCGACTTACGACCGGTTTAGTCCTCGACTTATGACCGGTTTAGTCCTCGACTTACGACCGGTTGGGGTTGCGGCATTAAAAAGGTTGAGAACCACTGCTCCACACACACATCTGCACTTCTCAGGTGACCCAGGTAAACCTCCAAAATGGTTTCAACGACTCTGAGGAATACAAATGACCAGCTGTCTGCAAGCAATATAAATCCTTCCACTCCCCGCCATCTAGCTCAGGGGTCTTCAAACTCGGCCCTTTTATGACTCGTGGACTTCAACTCCCAGAATTCCTCAGCCAGGCACGCTGGGTTGAGGAATTCTGGGAGTTGAAGTCCACGAGTCATAAAAGGGCCGAGTTTGAAGACCCCTGGCTGAAGAAGCTTCTTGAGTGAAAAGCAAAATGTCTTCAAAACAAACACAAGAAAGTCCAATTGCCTCCTGAAAAAAAGCACTTTTGAGTTTTTGGCTTCCACTACAAGTGGTCCTCGACTTACGACCACAACTGAGCCCAAAATTTCTGTTCTTGAGACAGTTAAGTCAATTTTGGCCCATTTTGCAACCTTTCTTGCCGCAGTTGTTAAGTGAACCACTGCAGTTGTTAAGTTAGTAACACGGTTGTTTAAGTGAATCTGGCTCCCCCATTGACTTTGCTTGTCAGAAAGTCATAAAAGGTGATTGATCACCTGGGACACTGCACCCATCCTAAATATGAATCAGCTGCCAAGTATCTGGATTTTGATCACCTGACCATGGGGATGCTGCAACAGTCATAAGTCACTTTTTTTGATGCCATAAGTTTGAACGGTCACTAAATGAACTGTTGTGAGTTGAGGACTGCCTGTATTTTAAGATGACTGGAATATAGAACATGTGAATAGGAGTGCATCGTTCACATTGTACAAACCAGTTACATGGTTTTTGCACGAGGTATTGCAGTTTCTGGAAGTTTGTCCTAAAGAGACTTTCCTGAGATAAATATGGACTTGATGTTCAGGCTGCAACGTTCCTTCAGAGAATTTCCATCCATTTTTAATCATGCCTTGCGGCATCTGGCACAGCATTGGTTGATCTCTAGAAGAATCTGATCTGCTTTGTACTTGAACAGAGGGACCACGGGGAAATCCCATGGAGACTGGGAAAGATTAAAAGAGATTATTCAGAATGGGAAATCACTTCTTTAGCATTACTAGGAAAACCCCAGGAAGGGAACAAGAGCTGGCTTTCTCTATCATTTATTTCGTTAAAGGTAGTCTTTCACTTACTGCCATTTGTTTAGTGACTGTTTGAAGTTACAGTGGCACTGTCTCTGGCACGGGTGTCAAACTCGCGTCATGTGAAGTGTTGCGATGTATCACAACTTTTTTTGCATTGCTGAAGCTGGGGTGGGCGTGGCCTCCACATGATGCAACCAGCCCACGGGCTGGCAGTTTGACACCCCTAGTCTATGGAGATTCTTTGGGATGAACACCCTTCGAATGGTGCGTGAGTATAAACAGATTTCCAGAAAACATTGCATACTGCAGGAACCATTTGCGCTTCAGTTTGAGATGCAGACAACACAGACTCATCCCCAACAGCCTACGCCTGTCTCCAACAGTGAAGGGACACAGGGCAGAAAACAGCCTGCAGCCAAGAAGCTCCACACACATTTGCACCACTCAGGTGACCCTGAGGGCACAGGTAAATCTCCTAATGACCCCAATGCCTCTCTAAAAGAATGCAAATGACCAACTGTCTGCAAGGAATTTAAATCCTTTCATTCCCCATCCTCCAGTCAGAGCTGAAGAAGCTTCTTGGATGAGATGCGAAACATCTTCAAAGAAAAAACAAGAAAGTCCAGTTACCTCCTGGGGAAAAAAAAAGCACCTTTGTTACAGTGGCACTGAAAAAAGTGACTTTCAACCGGTCCTCAGATTTACAACCGTCATGGCATCCCCCTGGTCATGGGATCCAAATTTGAGTCTTTGACCACCGGCATATATCTATGATGTTTGTAGTGTCCTGGGGTCATATAATTGCCATTTGAGATCTTCTCACCCGGCTTCTGATAAGGAAAATCAGTGGAAGAATGGATTTGCTTAATGACTTAATTGCAGTGATTCACTTAACAACTATGACAAAAATTGGGCATTGTAAAAGTTGTAAAATTGGGTGTGACTCACTTAACAACCACAATGCCTAGCAATGAACATTGTGGTCATAAGTCAAGGACTACCTGTAATCAGGGCTAGACCTACACCTATTTGGATTGGAGATCACCAGGAAATTCCAGGTAGGCGAGATTGGAAAGTTGAAAAGAGGTCCTGGAATAAGGAAATAGTAAATCACTTATTATTGCTAAGAAAATTATTTTCATGAAATCACCAGAGATTGAGATTGACAGAAGGGAGAATTTACAATGTTACTTACAAAGTAGTTCATCAATGAAAGCAAACATACAGAGATAAAATTCAGGGAGGTGCTTTCAATTGCTTAAAATAAAGTTTTAGTATGATATTTTTTGGAAGATGCCAAAATAATTTTTAAGTTTTTAAGAAGAGACTGGACAGCCATTTGTCCGAAATGGTATAGGGTTTCCTGCCTGAGCAGGGGATTGGACTAGATGACCTCCAAGGTCCCTTCCAACTTTATTATTATTATTATTATTATTATTATTATTATTATTATTATTATTATTATTATTATTATTATTATTATTATTATTATTATTATTATTATCCTGCTAAGAGAGTTTTGGAGTTTTCTGGAGGGTGAGGTCAAAGAAGTCAAAATGGTGGCTGTTATGCGGTGTGACATACGTACAAAATTGAGAGAGCTTTGACTGTACTATTGTAGCAATCATCTTGACTTTTTGGACTATATACCCTGTGGATACTCCTGGTCCTGGATAGTTTTTTTCAATCAAACCACTCTCGTATTTTAATTTTGGGTTTTTTTTCCTGCCTTCTGCCTTTTTTATTTATATCTCTGCATGCTAAGCTGACATGTGTTTTTATGTTGCTAAGAGAGAAATTTCTTGAATGATTTTTGTTCATTTTATGACCTTTCTTGCCACACTTGTTATGCAAATCACTGCAGTTGTTAAGTTAGTCACACAGTTGCTAAGTGAAGCTGGCTTTCCCATTGACTTTTGTTTGTCAGAACATCGCAGAAGATGATCACATGACCCTGGGACACTGCAACCGTCATAAATATGAACCATTTATCAAGCGTCCAAATGTAAATCCCCTGACCATGGGGATGCTGCAATGGTCATACGTGTGAAAAATGATCATAAGTCGCTTTTTTCAGTGCCACTGTAACTTCCAACAGTCACTAAATAAACTGTTCTAAGTTGTGTACTGCCTGTATTGAGGTCCCTGCCATTTTTAATCTTTTTCTGATAGAACAATTTTCATCGGTATATGTGTGTGTTAGGGTGATGTGTCCTGGATATATCTTTAATTCCATTCCCAAATTCTCAACATAAAATTTACATAGATTTACATTTATATTATGGAAGACAGAAGTCCCCTTATGCAGGAAACAAATTTTAATTTTATATCCTGCTGTTTTATTTGGCAGCGTGGGTGTTTTGTGTATGTAGTCCGAGCAGTTCTATGCAAATAATGTATATAATCGTTCCTAGGTTTGTCCTGCCACTTTATGCATATCAGGATATTATCTATCAGGTTTCAGTCTTCAAATTGTGTTGCAGATGGCAACAGCTCAAAGCACCTGCTTGGCATAGGCACAATTCCAGAACGAAACTCCCAGAATCTCTAGTTTAAAAATAAATAAGGTAGCAGATGATCTGAAAAACTTCCATCTGTGACATTGGGGATCTGCCAGTCAGGGCAGATAAAACTTGGCAAAACTTCGGGCTAAGAAAGAATTATTTTTTAAGGCTGTGCTCACTTCAAAAATAATTGGGGAGGGGAGTGCTTTTGACTTTGTGCAGTCCCTGTATCTT